TAAGACATATCAAGGAGATTAAATTTTTTAGTAATTGTCATGAAAATTTTTTTTCAAGGATTTAACAATCAATGAACTTTGATACATTTGTTCTTTTTTTTCTTTTTCCTTTATAATGTTTTCCCTCGTTTCATTAAACATCGGTTACGTTCGATAACTTTCGGTTATTTTCGTTGACAATTATTTACTAACCCGGCATGTGCATGTGTAAATGTAAACAAAATAAATGATGTAGGAATGTTCACCAAAAAAAAAAAAAAAACAGGAAACATTGATACTACTAAACTTTATTCTCACATTGTTTTTTTTATTTTATATTTTACTTAATATTTTATTATTTGATATTACGATTGTTAATAATTATCATTTANCCTCGTTTCATTAAACATCGGTTACGTTCGATAACTTTCGGTTATTTTCGTTGACAATTATTTACTAACCCGGCATGTGCATGTGTAAATGTAAACAAAATAAATGATGTAGGAATGTTCACCAAAAAAAAAAAAAAAACAGGAAACATTGATACTACTAAACTTTATTCTCACATTGTTTTTTTTATTTTATATTTTACTTAATATTTTATTATTTGATATTACGATTGTTAATAATTATCATTTAATTGATTTTTTCAGAGAAGAGGTTTTAAAGTGGGATGGCTGGGGTTATAAGGATTCACAATTTCTTCTTAATAGTAATAATATTGTTGAGTTCACTGGCACCAGGTAATATTTATAATAATTCTCAAGCATAATTATATAAGAATAGATAAATGATTACTTTGTTATGATGAAAAAAGAAGAAAGCATTTTGAAATGACACTCTGTGTGCATGCATATAATTTATGCTAAAAAGAATTCTTAAAAAACAAATAAACCAGATATAAGTGAAAAAAAATTACATCATCATGTTAACAAGCTATTTATACTATGTTGTCATAATTGTTTATAATGACGTTGTTAAAGTGAAGTTAGATCGTTTTATTTTAAATAATGTGTTGCATGCATGAAAAAATTTCATACAAAAAAAAAAAAATTAAAAAAAATAAAGATAAGCATTAGTGGTCAAAAATTGAATTACGTTTAAAAAAATATTTGAATACTTGAAAGAACATTTCATTTACAAGTGTCATCTTGTATAATAACATCGTTGTCTCTTTAATAAGCAATATTTAATAAGTAAACATGTCACTCACATAAAAATTTATTCTAAAAACATTCTTATCTTCTTTTCTTTTAATCATATTTAAATTGCCCCTTCATTTACTATGTGTTTTGTAAGTTCATTAGCATAAATTAGAATCTGATGATTCTATGTAAATAATGAGAATTCTTGATGTATTCTTTTAAGCATAAAATTTTTTGTATGTTTTCACCAACTACTAATAAATTATTTACGCCTGACATTCAATATTTTACAATATTGACATGTAATATTACTATACTTATTATTTTTTCTGTTTTTCTTTTTTTTTTTATAAGATTTTTTAATCTTTTTGCTTCATTGTTCCAAAGTCTAAAAGAGCCATTTAATTATGCTAATTTATATAAATACCATAAATGTAAAGTATGCGTATATGTGTAAATGAGGTAATAATAAAGAAAAAGATCAAAAATATACAATTTTGTATCTTCCTCTATGGAAAGTTGCTTTAAGTTTTTTTTTTTTTTTTCAGCCAATAGTAGAGAAATAGTTAAATTAATCGAATCAGAGAGTTGGAGAATAAAAAAGGCTTTCCTGAATTAAATACTTATTCATAATACACACAAAGTATTTAATTAAAATCTAGAAAAAAGAAATAATGTTGTTGAATTTATAAATTAGTTAGATAAACTTGAATATAAATTAAGATATGTATAAGAAAAATCTAACTATATCGTTGAAGATAATTTTTTCTATAAAAATCTTATGTCGTTTTAATTTATTTTATTATGTTTAGATATCCTATTAGTAATCAAAAACTGCCATATTTTACTCAATGGGTCAAAAATGTGTTCAACATAGAGTTTCATAAACATTTTAAATCGCAAGATGTACCAAGAAATTATCCCGAGCCAATTGTTTCACCTGAATTAATGGAATCCATTGAAAAGCTTAACATCGATTATTCGTTGAAAGGAATAGATCGATTGGTCAGAGCGCATGGTCATACTTTGAGAGAAATCTTTATTCTTAAATATGGAATGTTCAAAAGAATACCGGATATCGTATTATGGCCTAGTAAGAGATTATTATATACTTTTTTCTTTGGAGTGTGTATTTACTATTCTTACGTAAGAACTATAATTATACATTTCTCATACATAATTTTACTCTTTTAGAATGTCACGAGGATGTTGTCAAAATTATAAGAATTTGTGCTGAATATCAAGCTGTTTGTATTCCTTTTGGTGGTGGAACTAGCGTTAGTGGTGCTGCTTGGTGTCCGGTTAATGAACGTCGAACAATTATTTCTTTAGATACCACGCAAATGAATCAAATACTATGGATTGATAAAGAAAATTTAATAGCTTGTGCACAAACAGGTATTATTGGACAAGATTTGGAACGTGAATTACGTCAACAAGGTTTAACTTCCGGTCATGAACCAGATTCCTACGAATTTTCAAGGTAAAGATTAGGTAAAACTATACAGGGTGGGTCACCACATTTTACCATCTAGATTTACGTTATTATTATTACGCATAACAGACAATGTTTCACATGGAGTTGAATGGCTTTGAAAGGGGTTCATACTGATACCATACGTTTTAACATCGTTTCACCTTTCAACCCTTTTTTAGTATCCACCCCATCTTTCATCAATTCCTTTTTTTTATTTCACTTCACACATTCTTTTCATGATATTCATGATTTTCATGGATCTCGTTATTGATAATTGAATCAATGCAAGGAAAAAGGGGTGTGTGTGTTTGTGTGTGTACAATAGGATGAGTTAGAGAAGAAGAAGAAGAAAAAGAAGAAGATACGTATATAACTAAAGTATAAATTAATTGATTTGGTTATTCCATGTTATTATATGTTAAGTTAAGATATTCATGAATTCATATTCATATTGACTCTTTTAACAGTTTAGGTGGATGGGTAGCAACCAGAGCGAGTGGTATGAAAAAAAATACTTATGGAAATATTGAAGATCTTGTTATACGTGTCCGGATGGTCACAGGTCGTACAGAAGATATTGAATTTACATTAGAACGAGGGGCATTAGTGCCTCGTTCATCGTGTGGGCCAGACTTTGATCATATAATACTAGGTAGCGAAGGTACATTAGGTTGCATCACAGAAGTTATTTTTAAAGTACGACCTTTGCCAAGGGTAACCAAATACGGTAGTATTGTATTCCCAGATTTCAAAAGTGGACTTGCGGCAATGAGAATGGTAGAGGATGTTCTTTTTTTTACTGAATGAATACATGTTTTTCTCTTCATTTAAATTTCAATTAAATATAGCCTTGTAAAATTATTTACAGGTAGCCAAAGAACGTTGCCAACCATCCAGTATCCGACTTATGGACAATGAGCAATTTCATTTTGGTCTGATATTACGTCCTGAATCAAGTTGGGGTAGTTCAATATTGGATAGCTTGAAACACACATATTTAACTAGGATAAAGTGTTTTAAGTGGGACAGAATTTGTGTGGCTACACTTTTATTCGAAGGGGATTCTTCAGAAGAGATTGCAGCTAAGGAGAAAAAGATTTATAACATTGCTAAGTCATATAATGGTGTAGCTGCTGGAGAATCCAATGGTGAACGTGGTTACACTTTGACTTTCGTTATTGCATATATACGTGATTTAGGTTTGGAGTATGGTGTGGTGTCAGAATCATTTGAGACATCGGTTGCATGGAATCGTACTTATTCCTTATGTTGTAACGTCAAATCTCGAGTAGCAAAAGAATGTAATGCGCGAGGTATAAAAGATTTCTTAATATCTTGTCGTGTAACTCAAACCTATGATACGGGATGTTGCGTATATTTTTATATGGCATTAAAATATATTGGCTTAAAAGATCCAGTAGGAACTTATGAACAGATTGAAGAAGCAGCAAGAGACGAAATATTAGCTAGCGGTGGTTCTTTATCTCATCATCACGGTGTCGGTAAATTAAGAGCTTCGTATTATCCGGAAGCTGTCGGACAAGCTGGCGTTTCTCTTTACCGTGCCGCTAAAGCTCATTTAGATCCCCATAATATATTTGCTACGAGAAATTTAGATCCTGATTATAAAAGTAAACTATAAAATCATTACTAGTACTATTATTATTATTATTATTTTTATTATTATAATTTGTGTATGGAAATTTTATAAAAGAAAAAGAAGAAAAGAACCAGTACTGTCGTAAAAGCACACACGAAACAACAGTATATAATAATGCCTATGCAATAATGACAGAAAAAGATAAAAAGAAAAGAAACAAAATATTGAAGAAAAAAATTTATAAATTTATCCTTCTCTCTCTTTCTCTCATTTTTTTTTGATGATTAGAAAATAATAAAAAAAAGTTTGTATAAAGATTTAGTAATCATAATTGCTGTATAATTTTATGGATTTAGTGTACGATATATAAACTATAATATATAATGAAACGCCTCTAGTGGTGTTACGTGCTAGTACAAATATGAAATTGTAATATTGTATTGAGATTTTGATAAATTAATATAAATAAACTAAAAACTTCACTTATCCTATTACATAATTATAATAACGATAATTATAATAATGATAATTATTAAAATTATAAATATATTATAATTTTATAAATTATGTCACTACGTTCGTATCGCGTTTTATAAAAAAGAAAAAAAAAGAACAGACACTTTACTATTATTATATATCTAACAATAAGTCGATCATTATTTTTTGAGATCGATTGTCAATTAATAATAGTCTATTAATATTATTCAATCATTTGACATGGCGTATGCAACGATGATTTTTTTTTCTCTCATTCTCTCTCATTCTCTCTCTCTCTCTCTCTTTCTTTCTTTCTCTCATTTTCTCTTTTTCTTCCTTTCTTACAATAAATTTCATCTGTTATAATTTATGTACAATTACTAAATAATTATACTTGTGTGAAATAGATAATGTTATCAACGATAGTCGTGATTATTAGAGAAACGCTGCTTCTATTGTTGTTGCTGGTTATTGAGGTTCAGATTTTAAAGTTGTTAAAAATATATCAAGATCGTATTCGTCATCGTATTGTTGTTGTTCCCAAAGTTCAGGTAATATTTCAAGTACTGACCGATTAACACCTTGTACACAAGATACTTTAGATACTCCAATATTTTCTTGATTATCTAATTTTATCCCTTTATTATTTTCCAAAGAGAATAAGTCTAATAACTGTAAATAAGAATATAATTATTGTTATCGATTAAAAAGAAAAATATATATATAATAATGAAAAAAAAGATTCATATTAAACAAAGTATATGTACTTGATCGGTAGCCATAGTTTCCAAAGAAGCATTTTCTGTAGAAATCACAGTATTGGCGGTAAGTAATTTAAACTTCTGCAATCCCATAATTTTCTCTTCAACAGTAGACCTAGTTATAAGACGATATACATTGACAACTTTCTTCTGACCGATACGATGAGCTCGATCCATTGCTTGAAGATCCTTCATAGGATTCCAATCGTGTTCGACGAAAATGACGGTGTCAGCGCCTGTCAAATTTAATCCTAAACCACCAACTTGAGTAGTCAATAATAAAACGTCTATAGAAGGATCAGCATTGAAACGTGAAACAACAGAATGCCTTTGAGTAGCTGGTACGCTTCCGTCAAGGCGCAAATATGTTACTGTTGGTAAATGAGTTCGAAGTAAATCTTTTTCTACGATATCAAGCATCGCTTTTAATTGACAAAATATAAGAGCACGATGCTGGCTCACTAATTGTTGCTGAGTATGTTGATTATCATTGGTGGAACTGGCTGATGCTGAATTCCGACTTTGTTGATTAGATTGTCCGATACCACAGTCTAGTAACAATTGCTTTAAAGCTGGCAACTTAGCTCCATGTTCGATATCAGCTAAAGTAGTTTGCTGTTGTTTCATCATATTGCAAACCTATTATAAATCAAAATTACGATTGAGAGTAATCCATTTGAATAGTAATTATAAAAATCTTTTTATTAAACGTGTTATTACTCACTGATTGATACAAAGGATGCTTTGGACTTAATACTAGCTTAGGATGATTACATACGTTACGTAAGTAACGTAATGCTTCAAAGACATGACCACCATGAGGATCATTTGCAGATGTACATGAAACATTAGAGGTAAAGGCAGCAGAATGTCGTGTACGGAAATCTTCATAAAGAGTACGTTGTAATGGTGATAGATCGCAATAATAATCTTGCGTGATTTTAGGTGGTAAATCTTGTAGTACATCTTCTTTATTTCGTCTTAGTAAAAATGGTAATACCTGCAACAACAACAAAAATATATATTAACATTTATATTAATTATAATAAAATAATTAATACAATATTATAAAATATAATTTACCTGTCTATGAAGAGCTTCCATTGCCAAAGCACCAGCTTCCTGTTCTTTAGGGCCAGCTTTAGGTTCTCTGCAAGCTAAAATAGGACGAGAATATTTAGCCGCAAATTGTTTCTCGCTACCAAGAAAACCTGGCATTAAAAAGTCGAAGAGAGACCACAATTCAAGTACATCATTTTGTACTGGTGTACCAGATAATATCAGCCTATGATTAGCATGTAAACGTTTAGCTGCTTGTGCACTCTTAGTCTTGCCGTTCTTTATCACATGACCTTCGTCAAGTACACAATAATTCCATTGAAGTGCTTCAAAGAATTCTATATCCTTTCGTACAATATCGTAACTTAATACAACCATTTTGTGTTGTAAAAGGCGTGGCCTTAATTTTTCACGTTCTGGAGGTGTTCCAGCGTATTGAATAACTGAAAGATCCTCAGTTTGGAAAAATTTTTCTGCTTCATAGACCCAATGACCTGTTAAAGTTGGTGGGCACACTACTAAACTAGGTGGTGCCTGTGTATTACGATGATGATCCAATGCTAATATACAAAGAGTTTGTAGGGTTTTTCCAAGACCCATATCATCACACAGAACACCATGTAAATGATAACGATTTAGGAAATTCAACCAATTTAATCCTTGTCGTTGATAACTACGTAATTCTGCTTCTACATGAATTGGTAACTCTGTATCTGGTATACTGCGAGGATTTAACAGTTGTTCTAAAAATTTCCTTTCTTGAGCCTTCTCTTCTCTACAAGAATAAAAAATATTTGATTTATTTTATAACACAGGACGCATAGAAGTTTGACACATAGAAATAATAACATCATTGATATCTTACATTAAATCAGGTGGATCAGCAATCGCACCAGGATCAAGAGGTAACAATTGTACTAATGTTGCAAATGTTGCACTGCAAACTAATCTAACAGCTTGATTTTGATCACTCATTCTACCAAGCAAAGGTACCATAAAAAGTACCGAATATGGAATGACATTGACGCCTAAGGTTTCGATAATACAGGCCAATGCTTCAGCAGCACCCTGTCTCATCAAATCTATTTCATTTGGGGCTGTAAGAGTTTTAGATGATGGATTTCTTTCTCTACTGCTAGCTTCTAATAATGGTATCACACTATGTATTACATGTTGCATTGCCTGAAATAAATATATCTAAGTAATATCAATAATTGCTAAACATTAAGAACTTATGTTATATGTAAAATTTGTACCTTATCTGCATCCACACTAGCTAATATAGCTATACATCGTGCTGCCATATGTCTAACAGCTTTATAAGGGTGTGCTAATAGATCACACAAACGAGGTAAACACTCGAGTGCTGGTGGCAGTAAAGAAGAATGTAAATTTGGTGCCATAATTTCAAGTACTTGTAATCCAGAAATAAGTTGATTAGCTTTTTCTTGGGAATCCTTAGGAAGAGGATCTTCTGATCCTTTTCTTAATACACTTGGCAAAATTAAATCCCAAAGGTGTGGTAAGCGTGAAGGTAATTCGGCACCAAATAATTTTGCTATATTATTCGTAAATCGATTAAATAAAAAATTACAATTGTATTTGATAAACAATTGATGTTTAATGAAAACAAGAAAAATATATAAATATATATATTTATGTACCTAATGATGTAAGAGCTAAGGTAGCTCCACGACGTCGTGTTCTAGCAGCTTTTGCTTCAGGTTCTTCGCAAGCAAATAATTCTTCTAATGGAATTTCAGTAATTGGTGGCCTACCTGGTCCACGTCCACTACCACTTCCACTTCCTGTTCCACGATTATAAACTACTCTTTCTGCATGCTTATGCCTGTTATTTAACGTAAGAATACCTTCAAAGGTATCATGTTCATTTATGTTTGCTACTTTTGGTGTAAATTCAGTGTCCGAACACAAAAATGTGCATAAATTAGTTGATATCTTTAATAAATAAATGAAAGATTAATAAAAAAAATTGATGATCAATCAATAACGTTAATTTTAAAAGTAAGAAAAATATATACTTTTGTATTTGGTGAAGGATTTCTATTTACACAAAGATCAACGAGATGAGCTAAATGTTTAGCTGCTAATTTTTGCAATTCTTCGTTCTCCTCACGTTTGATAGCTTCCATTAACGGTTTTACGATTGGATTTAATGGCTGTGGAGTTTCTGGTAAACAATGTAACATAGTAGCAGCTCCTGCCAAAGCAGCCATCGACATAATATTTAATGATTGTTGTTGCGTTGCTGTTGCAGCAGCACCAACCTCCAAAGCTCGTCTCCTTTCTTCTAAACTGTCCACCAATTTAGGTTTCAATTTAATTCCAATACCATTACTACCGGCAACGGTGGGCACTGTGCTAGATGATCCAGTTGCATTACTGATGGCACAAAGCTCTAAAATAGGTTTTCCAGCGAGTATTGAGATCTGATCGAAAGTTAGTACACCAGACGAATCTACTTCTACGGGTACATTCAATTTATAATGTTTCAATGTTGCTATGTAATCACGACTTTCGTGTAATACACGTGTAAAAGATGTAGCTATCTCATCGTAAAATATACATTCGGTTAAACATTGAAATAGTCGATCCCTTAAAAAAAAAAAGAGAAGAACAATATATAATTATTATTATCATCAATGATTATAATTAAATAGCAATAAAAATTTATAAATATATAGAATATTTTCATACTGAAGTATATCAGGTATAACAGGTGGTTTAGATTTTTCGACGACAGCCCAATGAGACATAGTAAGACCAGCCACAGTTCGTTGTAAAGCTGATCGTGAATTAAGATGTGGCAGTAATACTTTAGCATAGCAAACAGCTGGACTAGGAATGTCTGGTGTATAAATGACGCCTGGTGCCGGTTGAACTATATAATGAGATAAAAGTCCAAGCATCCGAGATGCCTTGCAACGTGCTTGTACCACATTAGCGTGTCTGAGATTTTGCGCTACAGTTTCAATTCCACCAATGTATACTTTTAGCTCGGTAGAAGATTTGACACTGCCACTAATACTATTACTTCCACCATTGCTACTACAGTCTGACTGCATCCCATCGCAGTTACCGCCTATTTGATGGTTACTTTTTGTACCCTTGCCAGAAGTTATAGTCATTAATAAATTTGGATTAAATGGCACATGCTCCGGTTGCATAGCCAAACACAACCATGTGCTAACTAAGGGACAGGCTGCATGCAATAGAAGTTCAAGATCACTCTGTATGACTAGATTTTCCCAGACGCATACGGCTACATCTTGGATCATTGTAACATGCTCGATTAACACACGTTGAAATACATGACGTAAAGCCTGTTGTAATATGATTCCACCTCCTGGACCCCATCTTTCTTTTTTATCTTCACCCAGATTACCGTCATTTCCAGTTAATGTTTGTAATGTTTGTAATGTAGCTTTACGTACACTTGAACTTGAATGGCTAAGAAAAGGCCATAATCTTGGTAATACCTATAAAAATATTTCAATAAAAATATTATTACTTGATGATCATAATAATAAAATTTTAGAGTGCGAAAAAATTATTAAATACCTGTGCTAATGGTTGAGGTGTAATACAAGCACGTGCAGCAGGTAAAGAAAGTATAGCAGCTAGCAGACCCATAAAACTGTTGCATGCAGCTGCCAACTCATCCTGTTCACGTAGTAATTGCCAAAGTTGTTTCACTATTGCTTCCAATTCTGGAGGCTTTAATAATCTTGGTAAAGCTGATGCTACTGGTATGAGTGCACTTGCTGCTGCTGCACCTACATCATCTACTGGATCGGAAAGACCTTTCATGATAGCAGGAAATACTTTTGGTAATACTTCATCTAATAGATCATCACGTACTGCCAATAAATATTTTAATGCTAGCAAAGCGCCATGTCTAGCTTCCCATTCATCATATTCTAAAAGTTTCAATATGATTGAAACTATTCCCATAATGCCATTATTAGTGATTTTGTCATCTTTATCTTTTGGTATTAACAGCAAAAGAGAACCAAGTGCTTGTGCACATGTTTCTCTAACAGGTGCAACTACTTGATCAGATACAAAGTCACCGAAACGATCGAGACCCAATACACATAAAAGTCTTAACGCTGCATCGATCACCCATTGATAATGGCTTTCTTTCATTTCTTGTATTGTTTGATCGCGAGACTTTCCTGCACCTACATTAATATAAAAATATATATTATATATTATACTTTAAGTATAAGAATATTTTACAAATTAAAAATAAAGACAATATATATATAATTATTACCCTTTCCATGAAGACGTACAAGTTCTCGTAAAGCAGTGGCCGCACCATGACGCACTTCCCACTTTTGACTAAATAAATCTTGACAAAGATTTTCTGCAAATGATTCTAAGGGCCAGTCGATAACAGATTCTGGCCAACAACCAGTTCCATCTGGCACGCCATTTACAATTTCATTTGATGCACTGCCAATAGATCCTGTATTTGATGAGATTACTTCCTCTAATTTAACTTTTTTATTTACATCTCCACTATTATTTGCTATCGTTTCCAGTGTCGATGCGTTATCCGGTGGATCATCAGTCTCTCGTGATCGTTTTGACACCGTCTGTCGTGCCTAAAAATTAAAATGATGCTTATTTATTTTTCATTGATACAAAGAAAAATGGTATAACACAAAACCAATATAGTAATAATAATAATGATACCTTGCGTTTTGCTCTATTCATTTCTCTTCTACTAAGTCCACCTGGTTGTTTCAATGTTTCCTCAATGGGTACTTTATGAGACGATTCAGAAACAGGAGAACACACTGAAGGTAGGAGATCATCCGAAGTAAATAGTTCAGACGTATCGATGCCAGTCAATCGTGGATTTAAACCTAATTTTTCTGTAATGTATTTCTTCTCTTGATTCTGTTGATTAATGTTTTCACCTTCCGGTACAATCAAATCATACTCGCTTCCCTCTGATCCAGTTAAATGAGAACTGCGCGCTAAGATTTTTTCCATATCAAAATTTTCCAAGGTCAATTTATTACTAGTTATTCGTTGTTTGTCTTCATTTATTTCAACCTTAACTGGTACATAAAATAAAAAATAATATAAATTAATAAAAATGTAAATAAATTTTAATGAAAAGAAGAAAATAATAGAGAGAAAAGAATACCCTGGCACAATTCTATCGGGTCTGGATTCCATGGAGGAACTTGTGTAAGTATAGCTTGCACTGCATGCGCAGCTGAAATTCTTGTATCCCATTGCGGAGACTTTAAAAGAGTCGAAACTCGAGCTAATAAATGATGAAGATCATGAGGATGTAATCTTTGTGCTTCTCCAAGTTGCTGGGCTGCTGCTCTTTTGGTTACTGCATTTGTGCCAGTTTCTAATAATATAAATAATCTATCTAACCTAGAGAAACACAGAGAGAGAGGGAGAGTGAGAGCAATATCAAACATTTAACATTAAAACGGAAAGAGAGAGACTGAAAAAATTTGAATTATTAATGATATTAATTCTAGTCACCGTAAATACATTACCTCGATGTCATGATTATGTTTCAAATGAGAACCACTTAAGGTATCTGAAACAACAAAAATCAATTCTTATACTTTCCATATGCATAATACATTTTAATAAGGTCATTCATAGCAAAAAATCTTATCTATTTTTATTTCTACAAAGCATACATATGCAAATCATAAAATGCTTAATAATGATGTTACACTATCCAAACAGTTAAAAGACAGCTAAATCAAAATAATTTTCTATTTGTCATAGGTGTAAAAAAACTGTATAAAAAATGTACTGTATAAAAAAATGATTATTACTTTAATGTAAATCGTTGTTAGAAATGTCAAGAATAAAAAAATTAATTATAATACACAGGGGTGGAGACAATACACATTAAAGCATAACTAGAGGAGGAGGAGGAGCAGGAGGCGAAGGAAAAGGAAGAAGGAGGAGCATGGGGGAGGTTGGACGCTTCTTTTTTCAATATATCATCGATAATGCAATATTAGGTTAATAATAATAACACATAGAAAGTGATAATAAATAATAATCTAACGTTATCTTGTAGATGAATAATTATTCCAAAGTATTATGAAATATTATGAAAAAGGCGCAATATGGACACGCAAATAAATAGAAAAGTATTATCAAGTATACCTATTTAAAAATACAATAATAATCTTCCGTTATTGTAGGTTTCAACCAATACTCATCGCAGTTTCCCACTCATGAAATTGAACAAAAGTTACATCACATCGCGCATTTAATGAAAATTTAATAAAAGTGAGTCCATTTGCCAAATATTTCGGAGAGAAACGCATGTTAGAAGCATCAAATTTATACTGACAGCCATATTGCTGGTGAACCTGGGTTTTGTCCCTCTATTTTGCTCTTATTGGCGGATATAAGATAGATCGTACGACTATCAACCAATCAGAGTTTTAATTTCAACATAGTCGAGTCGAAGTACAAGCAGGACGTAGCAACGAATAAAAATTTCCATTTTTCAAATTGGTAAGTGTTTTGTTAACGATCTTTTACAAATAATTTAATTTTAGACATTTTAAGGAGAAATATAAATTTTTGAAATATTATATATTTTTATTAAAATTATACGGAAACGTTATCGCATAATTATTATATAATTAAAGTATATTTCAAACATTCAACTTTGATCACTAGTATCAGTTGTGTATCATAGAGGTTCAACCGATGACCATAAATTCTTTACAGCGAACGTTTCATCTCTTTCCACGTGGTTAAGCTCCAATTTTTACCAATCACGTTTTCCTATCATACATAATGTATTTATAATGTTAGTACGTAATAGAGATATAAGTAGTTTTTTATTTTTTAATAAAAAATAAAATAAAATGTGTAAATGCATGCAAATGATATTTTACTTAATAAGATACTAGGAAAATGTATGAAATAAACATTATTAATAGAAATACGTATACAAACTTAATTAACTTATTAACAATATCCGCAATACATTAAGGATGAATACCATTGGAAATAATCTGTGTTATTATTTTTGTAGTACATTAAAAGGTAATCTACATTGTTAAAACAATGGAAACCATTTACATCCCTACTTTAGAATACAAAGGAAATTAAAAATATTATCACAAGAATGGGAACATTTGGAAATCATCAGACACATCTTCAAATATAAACAGAATGCAGAAGTATTTATTAATAGAATTCCAACAATTAAAAATAATTTATACAATTAGAAAATATTTATTCTACAGATATTATTTTAAGAATTAATTTATAGACATTATTTTACATATTCATAAATATTTAGTTGTTTTCTCAAAATATTTTCTAGATATGATCCCTGTATTACCAACAGTGCAAAAGTATTCATAAGGTATACCGACTCTTTACTAATCGATGTAAAACAAGTAAACTATCTTACCGACTAAGTAAAGATGTAGATAATAATCGATTCCTATTTGAAGTTCGATTTGCGATAAATATTTTCGATTTCTCGAAAATTTGAAACTTCTGGTGAGAGAACATAATTTAATTATTATAATACTTGAATATATATACGAAATATATAATTATTTTTCTCCTAAAATCACGTTCAATTCAATTAACTAACGTTTTCTCTTGGCAAGTATGATTTTTGAACGGTATAATTTCATTAATTCAATCAGTACTTTGTACTTGTTACAGAACCAAGAAGAGCGCGTTTATTAAACTTCTCATGGATGTATATACGCATGCATGTAATCTCGTTATTGCGTAATAGAAGAGCATAAGTGTAAATGTTTAAAAGTCATGAAACCATAGTTAGCACGAATCGCTATGTGGCAGGAAGATCAAACCGGGGGTGTAGGAAGAGAACGAGTAAACGAGAAAGATAAAGGAAGAAAGAGAGGGAAAGAGGGAAAGGAAGAGAAGGAAAGAAAGGGAGTAAGAGAGAGGGAGAGATGAGATCATCTCTTCTCGTTTGGTGTAACGTTCGAACGTTTCCAGGCTGCAGTCAGTACCGGTCCAGCGACCGATTTGGAGGGCTGCTTTGTATTTAGTCTTTTCATCACAATAAATTATTGAAAGGAAGGAAAAAGAGAGAGAGGAAAACTTCATCGTTTCAGGTATGTAATCCTTTATTGGTTCGAGAAAATATCACTTTTTTCTGAGCCTGTAAATTTTAGAAAATAACTTATGTTTATATGTATTTGTAAGTATATGTAATACCTAATATAATAAAATATGTACAGTAAAATATATAAATACATATTATGTATAGTTATATATTTTTATTGTTATTTTGTAATCTATATAAATTATAATTTGCATAGTTGAATGCATGAATACATACATTTTTTATGCATTTTTTATTATATTAGGAATGGTCTCTTTAAACTTACAGGATTGAACATCTTACACTTTGTTTTTTTTAATCGCCACAGTAATTATTCATATTTGGAGAAGTTATCTCATTTTTGTAGGCGCGAATGTAATCATCCATCCTTTGCGAAACGGAAATCAAATATCCTTCTCGCATATTTTTATCGTTTCATTCATAAATAATATTCGAATAGGATAAAACAATGGAATTATATGTACAATTTAGTAGTCTTCTTTGTCCAAAGATATATTTTATGAGTTGTTCATGTCGTGGTCGCTATTTAAATATCTTTTATGAGCAATTATCTCCGTTCTATGGAACGTTGTAAAACTATTATTATTGCCAACGTATGCAAACATATTATACTACTTCAAATAAAATCGAATTTTCCATTCGTTAAAACACTCTTGTATAATTTCATTAATAATATTAATAATTAAAAATCGCAAATTAATAAGAAAAAATGCATGCTATTTTATTTAACATTAGATTATCAGAATTATAATGCAATGATTATAACAGACGATTAATAGAATGTTTTTTGCGGACACAAAGGTCATTGAAAAAATAGAAAAATATGTTGAAAACGTATATAGAAAAATTTTGTAAGACCCAAAGCAGTGACCTTCCTTTTACCTCATCCCTGTACCATAAGAATCGGTAGAAATATTATTACGCCAGCAGCGCATTTATACGAAGTTTGCGTGTCAAGTGGCTTCTCTCGATGGTTCTCCGGTCAGAAACCGAACTGGTGTTACTCCGCGTATACTTTTCTTGTATACTCAGGAACGTTCAGCGACACGAAACGATTCGTTGAAATATCCACCCACGGAATGTCGATTAACATTAACTTATGTAGGTGGAATGAAATGAGAACACACAGATATATTATACATAAGATTCCCGAATAATTTTGATTATTATCCTGGAAATGTTGGCGTTTTATTTAACGAAATTAGATTACAATATAAAGAGAAAGAAGAAAAAGATGAGAAATAAAAAAGAAAAGAGATTACGAGATCCTTCCATCTAATCCAATTAAAACCTTTCCAGTGATAATCTAATCTCTTTTCTTTGTGGTATACATTTCTTTTGAGAAAATAATACTTCATATATATATCTAAAACAAAATAAAAAATAATAGAGATATCCTCGTAACATATTTATTATCTTACGCATAGTTGTTATATTATTCTTTCTTGTTTTTTAAGTACACAAAATTTTGCAATCCCTCGAGTGCAGTTATAAATACCGCGAAGTATCGTCCTGCCCAAAAAAGGAAATCAAAACGAAAAGAGGAGAAATCGAGTTGAAATATTAATTTTTAACAAAGTAAATTTGTTGAAAAATTTTCAGAATAATTGAACAAATTTATACACATATTATTTTTTTTTTATTAGCAAATAGATAAAAGTATATATTACAGGAATAAATTATTATCATGGAAGTATATATAATAGAAATGAGAGAGAAATGAAATGTGTGTGTGTGTGAATAACTTTTATATTATTAACTTAATAATTACAATAATTAACTTTTGCGCGAATATAAATAATATATAGAATAATTTCATAGTAAAATCAACAAAATTATTATCTTATTTTCTCTCTCTGTCTCTCTATTTCTTTTTTTCGCTCTTTTTATAGATTAACAGAAAACGTTCATATTGAGGCCTTGATTTCTCATTAACTCTTCCTTTACTTGATAAACTGAGAGATGACGATACGTAAATAGATCTTGCCACGTTCTTTCTTGGAATTGAAAACATATGTATATTGTATAAAGAGAAAAGAACATACATATGTCGTAATAATAAAGCGTATGCGAAATAAGAAACGGAAAAGGGTCGGTCTCACGCATGAATCCTGTTCTTAATGTCGTCGAACTTTCTTATATCGAAGACTTATGTGAGACGATTATTTCAAAGTATTTAGGTTATCGCTTTGTTACTCCTATCAAAAGTCATGTCGACAGATTTATTATCTTTAGCTATGTTGACCCAAGAATCGTTCGTTAGATCGTTAACTTCGATCTTTTTCAATTCTTTCGTTTAACAAAATATAAATTCTTTTTTTAAATGACTATCATAGAGAGAGAGAGAGAGAGAGAGAGAGAGAGAGAGAGAGAGAGAGAGAGAGAGAGGCGGTAAATTTAAAAAATCGATTTACTCGTTTTTCAATTTATATGTTTCTTTAAATAAAAAGAAATTGTGTAATTTAAGAATATTCAATCTGTATAATATCATATATAATATTTATAATTGGATTGGAGATCAATTTTAAAATGTAGTATTCATATATTAAAATAAGAAAGAAAGAAAGAAAGAAAGAAAGAAGGAAGGAAGAACGGAAGGAAGTAAGGAAGTCGCTAACTTTACAAATGGTTCTGATAATTGAGAAAAAAATCAAGATAACGTTTGAATCGATTAATAAATGAGACTCAATGTGTCTGATTAATTCCAATGTATTTTCGAGGATATATGTACTATAGCATACGTACCATTTAATAATAATAAGACTTGTAAACGCGCACAGTTACGCACTTATCGATCGATCGTTTGTCGCAGGGATCGCAATGCGGACGACGAAGCTGCAGCTGCTCTTCCTTGGGTTGCTTTTAGTGGCTCTTGTAACAAATGTTTCTGCACGGCGGGTTAGTAAACCATAATTTGATATATTACAATTTAATTAGAAATAAAAATATCTTTTTAATATTTCAAAATTATCATTTTTTCTTTCGTTTACTTTTTTGATCGTTGTAAATATATCCCTAGAATTGAAATAAATATAATTATATATTTTGATAAAATGATTTCTTTTAGCATATAAGGAAACATCGAACAACGACCGAACCATCGCTTCAGGATGAAGTGATTAACATGTTAGAAGCTGACGAAATTGCGGAAGATGATAACAAAGATGCTGAAGTTAACTTCGAAAATGCTGGAAACGAGCTTGCAGCAAAAAAGCAACGTTTGATCGAAGTTGATCCTTGCATGGATAAACATTGTAGTGCTGGGCGAGTTTGTAAGGTCAGTTTCTATAAATTATAATGATTTAATAATTAAAATAAACATTCTTAAATGTTTGAAATTATAGAACAGGTGTCTAATATTTTTAAATCATTTATAGTCAACCGAAGATGGCGTAGCCGAATGCGTTTGTATCGAATATTGCGATGAGGAAGTTGATCCTCGACGTAAGGTCTGCACAAATTACAATGAAACTTTTGGCAGCGATTGCGAGGTCTATCAAGCACGTTGTTTCTGTAATACTGATGATCCCAGATGTAGAGGTTCTAAATATCATCATGTTCATATCAAATATTATGGGGAATGCAAAGAGATGCCTGTGAGTATGAATAAAAATAATTTATTAATTCTTGTGTACTAATTTGATTTAATAATAACATCAAAAATATTATTTAATATTGTCCGTGACTAGCCGTAGTCATTGATATCGATTTTCTTTAACTCATATGCTGAATTTTGCTTTGCTGTTATTCAGACCTGCAAAGAAGAGGACATGGCAGATTTTCCGAGGCGTATGCGTGATTGGTTGTTCAACATAATGCGTGATTTAGCTGATCGTCAAGAGCTACCATCGCACTACTTGAAAATGCAACGCGAAGCTGAAACTAACTTGACACTGCGCTGGACAAATGCAGCTATTTGGAAGTGGTGTGACCTCGATGGTCATCCACACGATAGGAAAGTTTCCAGGCACGAACTTTTCCCTATTGAAGGACACTTAATGGCTTTGGAACATTGCATAGCACCATTCTTCGATTCTTGCGATGCCGATAACGATCACATGATTAGTCTCACCGAGTGGGGAAAATGTTTACAGTTGGATGAGGTAAATGATCAATTAGAAATTTTCTATAATCTCATTTCATTTGACAATTCAACTAGTAAATTAAGTTTAGCTGGAACCATTATAAAATACAATCCAATCGTATTCCTAATCCTAAAAATATCCCTTCAAGATGTCTTAAAAAAGAAGTAAAATTTCTTGTGTATTATTTCTTCGAATAAACTAATAATCTAATAGTATACATATATAGAGAGGTAGAATAGACATTTCAAAGAAATGTTTCATAATTATTTCTAATATCTTATGCATATTTATTATTATTAATTTAATTTTTTAATTATAGGACGACATCGATGACAAATGCGACGAGCTAGCTGAGGCTAACAGCAATCTATACTAAATAATTTCGAGGATAAATATACATATGCATACATATATATAGTATATATAATATATACTAATACAAATAATGGCGGATGTATCTGCTGGACGGATCGAACAACAGGACCAACGATAAATTCGCGAGAAAGAACCTTCGTATTGTCTACGTAATAGTCCCTAGTAGTAGTAATAGCAGTAATAATAGTAGTAGTAATATAATAACGATAAGAGAATAGTGGGGGATGATAGGGGAGGAAAATGGCGGGAAAAATTGGAACGCGAGGCTTTGCGGATTTGTTAATGCGCATGTCCCATATAACAGACTACTCGTCGATATCGTGACCCATCGTATAAATGTTCCTCGTGCTATTTGCAATTTTCAACAGTCTCGTTTTAATCCTTGCTCGTGTTATTCTCATCGATCGAAGCCCCTGCTACGGCCAATCAATTTTCTATCGAACGTTTTTTTTTTTTTTTATACAAATTTAACGATTCGAACGTCATAGAAATGTTAAACCATTAATCAGTTTATTAGATAATAAATATTATTCATTTTTTGTTCTTTTATTAAATCGTAAAATCAAGTTTTATTCCTAATTATTAAATTTTTATTTTGTTCGTTAAAATTTATCACTCGATAAATAGAGTTTATATATATATATATATATATATATATAAAAGTTTGTAGTAGATAATACACGAAAACAAAAATCGGTTCTTTAAATTCGAAACGTCCTCTTCAATACAGCGCCACGGATCGCTTTAGAATTAATTTTATTCGTATTTGAACTCAATCGCGATATACAATTATAAGTTCAATCATCTATTTCGATTCTCCCCCATTTATCGTTATTTAATCCCAGTAATATTATTACTTACAATACTTTAATATATACATATTATATACATATATAAGTGTATTCTTGTATATTGTGAAGTATTTTGTGCTACTGCCTTTTTACTCGTCAATAAAAATTCTCAAGACATTTTTATTATATTTATTCTTATCATCGTTTCTCAAAATTATTTAAGAACATTTTATAATAACTTTGTTTGTTCGGTTATTTATTTCTCAAGGAAAATAATTTTTAATAATAACTTTTATCATTTCTCAGAGGAATATATATGTATATTTATAGACATTCATAAAGTATTTAAATTCATATCCAAATTAATAATATTACCAATATCGTTTATTTGTTATGGAAAAATATAAAGAAAGAATAAAAAGGATGAGGGCCACCAGTTGCGTTCCACCCGCCATCATAAAAAAGGATAAAAATAAAAGAAAGAAAAAAAAAGTAGAAGAAACAAGATAACACCAAACAAGAGAGAAAGAAAAGAAAGCGAGAAAGAGAGAGATAGAGAGAAATAGAAAGATATGTACAATAGAAAATCAGATGGAGAAGTTCTCGAAGTTTCGAGATGATAAATGATAAATAATTCTTTGACTCATATGAGCATTCTAAAAAGAAATAAACAGAAGTAATGATATAAAATAAATAATTCACATTCGAAATGAATGATTGAAAAGAAAACGTCGTTGATTCTCTTACACATTTAACGTTCTTCTTTCTCTTATAGACCGTAATACGAGATTCGACCGCTTGTGTCGCAACGATCGCGTCGCTAACAGGCCGTGATTGGTCGAGAGTTGTCACGTGATCAGACCGCGGGATGAGGCAGCAGCGCCAAGCGTATTTGGCGGGATCGTGCTTAGACGGCGTCGTCTGTGCTCCTCGCAGGTCTGTCGAGTAGTGAACTGCTAAGGTATTGCTAGAATAATGGTGAGTAATCCGCAAGTTTTTACCGGTTCATTCAGGCATCCATCAACGTTATACATATCACCGTGTTCTATGGACTTTCAATTATCGACTGACGAGATTTCGTTCTTCTAACGCTTAAATTAATCGTGATTTTCGTCTGTGAACAGGCTGGTGGAAAGGCGGGCAAGGACTCGGGTAAAGCAAAAGCAAAGGCGGTCTCTCGTTCTGCGAGGGCCGGCTTGCAGGTGAGTTCATTATACAATTTGTTACATATTTAACGTTAACATAGATTAAAACAATTTTCGAATTACCATGCAATTTTTTTCACTTATTTCAATGGTAAAAATTCATAGCGGTCATTACAGGTTAAACAGTGTAGTTGGCGCGAAGTAAAACCAATCGTCTAGTCTTTTATTATTACTGATAAAGAGATATTTTTTTTATATTAGAAAGCTTGTGCTTTTAACGTTTAACCGTTATTTCGATTCTACATAATATATTTAAACCGCTGAACAATCAAAATAATCGATAGGTCGATTGAAAAATATTTCATTTTTCGAATTGAATTCTCTCGACAAAAGTGCATACTAGCTTACTCGGTTTGAAATGAACGAGTCGTCGGATGGAGACCATTTACACCACACCAACCCCCTCCATCCCCCTTTCAATCTCTCTCTTTCTCTTTCTATTCCCTATCCCCCCGCTTTGATCGCCGGGCCTTTCAATTCGGTCGTCCATTGGACTCTTTGAATATTTTATGCCTTTTTCGAAACTTCTACGGTAATTTGAAGTTAATGTCGGTGACTAATGTTAATGTGATCATAGCATTAATATCTCCTTCGAGAAAGAATAAAACATTTTTGTTTTCCTATCATTCAAAAATCGTGTATTATCGCGAAATTATATCGAAGATCGAATACAAATACGTATCGTTTCGATAATTTTTTTCTTCGTGTTTGAATTTTTAATTATACACACATACACACAAACGCACATACATATGGGACGTCATATGATTCATTAGAAGAATTTCATGATATGAGATAAAAGTAAGATTATTAGATAATTAGATAAATTAATAGGAAAATAATTAAAACATAAAGAAAAATGAAAAAGTAAGCAAATAGAAAAAATTATTATTCAAAATGAAATGTGTGTGTTACGCGATGTTACGTTATAATAGATTCGTTTTAGAGGTTAACCAAAAAATATGGACGCTGTTGTGTGTATGTATGTATGTATGTATGTATGTATGTATGTATGTATGTACGTATGTACGTGATGAAGAATAAGAAGGTTTTTAACTTTGTTATTTATTATGTGTAAAGCACGTGTGTAAGTGATACAGAGAACTTATATACATGTGTGTTCACGTTTGTGTGTTTTCGTAGGAAATAAAACATTGGAAAGTGTACAGACCAAAGTCTAATATAGGTTTATCGAATATAATTTACGTATAATATATTAAACATGTTAAAGGAAAGTTTAAGGGCGTTAACATATTTCGTTGAATGACGAAACGAATCTGACAGAAAAGCTGGGAAACCTTCGGGAAAAGCCGAATAATCTTCCATCGCGTGCCGCTCGATATTCGTCCCGTTTGTGAGAATGTATGTGTTCATGTGCGTGTGTCTGTGTTTGTAATGTAGGCGTACGTGCGTATATGTCGTGTTATGTGCGTGTGTATGTGGACCCCGACTCTGTGAAAGATGAAATATATATATAAAGAAAGAGAAAGAGAGAGAGAGAGAAAAATTGCAATATATATTTTCTCTCTCTGTCTTTCTTACTTCCATTAACACAGTCATTTTTGTATTTTCTGAAAATATTCTTGTATTAGATGTATGTATAAATCGTGTATATATATACACATACACACACGCATCAGAGACATAAATCACGCATACTATTGCGTGCCAAATCAAGACACATATTTCATAATTAACTTTAGTTTTTCGATATATTAAATATTTAGACAATTAGTTGACTATATTAATTATACTATTTGATTTCTTTTTCTAATGACACGAGAAAGTTGCTGACGCGTTATGTTGAAAGAGAGAAGTCGATGTTATTTGAACGGATAATAGGAACAACTTACGATATATATTTACCGTCCTAAAAATATTTCTCTCTTTTGTCATCGGAAAATACCCGATTATAATAAATTCTCTTTCGTTTTTTCATTATTTTTTTATCTCTGTCTTTTTCTTTCTTTAAAAATGATAATTTATTATTTAGGTTAGAAAAAAAAGAAAGAAAGAGAGAGAGAGTGTTTGCGTGTATCGTATAGAAATGTTAGAGAGGGATGAGATTTATTATTGTTGTTATTATTCTAATTATTTAAGTTAGTACATATTCGTTTATTTTGATTTCAGTTTCCTGTAGGTAGAATACATCGGCATTTGAAAAACAGGACTACCAGTCATGGTCGGGTTGGTGCAACGGCTGCAGTATACAGCGCAGCTATCTTAGAATATCTGACAGCCGAGGTGAGTTAGGTTGGTGCGAGAGAGAGGAGATATCGTGTTGAGAAGCCGAGGGTCAGAGCTTTTGCTGATGTGTGTATATGTGCGTTGGGTTGACTTCACTAGTTATATATATATGTGTTTGTGTGTGTGACTTATATATAATGTGAATACTATATACATGGAAGCGTGACGCCAGAATAGTGTGAGCGTAGTTAGGAAAGTGACCACTAGTGTCACTAATATTGAGCTCACGTGGGATATCATGGCGGACTTTTCCCGCCATTATTTAGAAAATGTCTGATGTATTTTGAACGATTGATATTTACTTTTTATTAATAATGTAGATTCTATGTTTATAAGTTTAGTGTGCAATTATATTGTATTGTTTAAATTATAAAATCTATTGAAATATTTCATAATTATTGGCCAAACTAATATTTTGTTTTTATTGCTAGGTCTTAGAATTAGCAGGAAATGCGTCTAAAGATTTGAAAGTTAAACGTATTACTCCAAGACATTTACAACTTGCCATTCGAGGTGACGAAGAGTTAGACAGTCTGATTAAAGCTACAATCGCAGGAGGAGGTAAGTTATTATATCTTTGTTTCGAATATACAGTGTATCTAAAGTTCTCCGGTCTAATGGTGTCAGCATATTTTATGCATGAAAATAAGAAAAATATGTTTACCCTAGACACCTGTATATATATACAATATTATTAATCGTTGATTTTCTTTTTCTCGTAGGTGTTATTCCACATATCCATAAATCACTAATTGGCAAGAAAGGTTCCCAGAAGCCAGCATAATTTAGTGACGATTGAAGAACTATCTTGAGAGATAAGTAGACAAAACAGAGATGTAAAGTGACAGTGACTGTTGACAAAGTGTATCTACGTTATTAAACTAAATAGAGAGACTGGAGTGATATAATATATGTATATGGATACATATATACATAAATATATATATATATATACATATACATATATATGTATATATATATTTATTTATGCATACATATATATATATGATGTGAAATAAATATTGATATAATTTAACATAGGTAACGAAGAGATAATGGAAAGACGAACGTTGAAAGCGTAATTTGTGACGATTAAGGAATAGGAAGGTGATTTTGTTAGAGATGATGATAATGATGATGATGATGATGATGATGATGATGATGATGATGATGATGATAATGACGATGATAACAAAGAAAAATTCCTAGTGTGCATATAACGTGGCGATTTAAGATTGCTCTGTGAGCAATGTGTTATAGCATCGCTCGCACGAAACGATTAAGGTTTCTTGCTTCGCCGATAATGTATATTTTAAATGAAAAGTTAAAACGCTTCATTGTTAATTCACAGCATCTCATTTATTTCTCTTTACGTTCATGATTTACGTTATTTTGTAATATAAAAGTTTTTTTTCTTTTTTACTTTCGACTCGCGCCACCTTTAACCAAATTCATGTTTTTTTATTAATATATACTATATTCTTTTCTTGTTTCTTTAATTTTTTTTTTCTAAATTTCCCTTCTTTTCTTTTATTTTTAAATCATCG